TTTTAAAAAGCGGATTCTCTCTGGCGAAGAATATGTATCCAAACCAGATTCCAAGAAGCTTAACACATCTACAGAGTCAAATTTGGAACCACTATCCAGCAATAAAAAGGAAGTAACTGAAGACACTATTCAGCAACCAGAACTAGCTGAGTCTGATAATGGAGCAATAGGTATTAAAGGGAGCTCTGCATCAGTGAAAGAGGTCGATGAAATTGCTGCTCTTAAAGCAGCTGTCTTGGCTAGAAGAGCTCTCAAGGTTTTAAGTCCAGAAAAAGAAATATCTGTACAAAGCAGTAGCTCGCATCAGATTCAAACGACAAGCCTTGATCGGATTCAAATGACGAGTCAGCATCAGATTCAAGTAATGAACCCTGATAGGATTCAAATGACGAGTCAGCATCAAATTCAAATGATGGACCCACCTCAGGAGCAAAGAACGAGCTCTGATCGGATTCAAGGAACCAGTCCTGATCAGATTCAAAGGATGGGTTCAGATCGAATTCAAAGGACGAACCCGTCTCTGCTTCAAATGAGGAACCCGATTCTGACTCAAATGATCAGCCAGAATGATCAAATGGAGCCTCAGACTCCAATGACGAGCCAGCCTCAGACTCCAATGACGAGCCAGCCTCTGAGTCAAATGACGAACCTGCCTCTGACTCTAATGACGAACCTGCCGCTGAGTCAAATGACGAACCTGCCTCTGAGTGAAACGACGAGCACGTATCCGATGTTCCAGATGAGCCCTCCACAGAGGCCAGTGGGGAGCACGCTGCAGATGTTACTGGCGTGGCCACCTCAGATGCCAGCGGTAAGTCCGCAGCGGATGTTATTCTCTAACCCACCGCAAAGGCCAGAAGGGAGCCTACAGAGGGAGCAAGGGGAGAGCCCCCAAAGAAAGCCAGAATTTACCTCACCGAGGAGGCCAGAATTTACCTCACCGAGGAAGCCAGAATTTACCTCACCGAGGATGCCAGGATTCACCCCACCGAGGATGCCAGGATTCACCCCACCGAGGAAGCCAGGACCGAGCCCGCCGCAGGGGCCCGTAGTTAGCCCGCTGCGGAATTTATTGTTAGCCCCACCACTAATCCCAAGGGTGAGCCCACGGAAAAAGTCAGGGGCGAGCTCACATAAAAAATCAGGGGCGAGCTCACAGGAAAAGTCAGGGGCGAGCTCACAGGAAAAGTCAGGGGCGAGCT